TAATTTGCGGCATGCCCCTACCGGATGGTCGTTAAAAGCCAGAATGAAAATTTTCGGGATGCCCCTACCAGTACCATCAAACTTTTTAGCACGCCCTTACAGCCGTTGGAGGCGCTCCGGGGTGATCTGAAAGCCAGCTCTCTCTCTCTCTCTCTCTCTCTCTCTCTCTCTCTCTCTCTCTCTCTCTCTCTCTCTCTCTCTCTGACTACTTTGCGAAGTTTGCGCGCCAGCGATTTGCAACACCTGAACGTATATTTCCACGAACACGGGAAGATTCATTCCCTATTTGCAACTTCGAAGAGAGAGAGAGAGAGAGAAAGAGAGAGAGAGAGAGAAAGAGAGAGAGAGAGAGAGATGCACGGCGAGCTGCGCAGCGAGAGAGAGAGAGAGAGAGAGAGAGAGAGAGAGAGAGAGAGAGAGAGAGAGAGAGAGAGAGAGAGAGAGAGAGAGAGATGCGGAGGGGAGGAGGGGGAGGAGGGGAGGAGGAGGAGGGAGGGAGACAAGTGCAAGTGGTGCAGGGCCACTCTAGTAGCTCCAATCCCCTCGATGTACATCACCATCATCATCTATGTTACCGCGCGTTCCGCGTTCAGTTTATGAACGCAGTGAACGCGCGTTCACTGAACGCGCCTGAACGCGATTGACGCGTTTGCGCAGGGGGGCTGTCGCGGGTGGGGAGGTGCCTGTGAGGCCACGGGAGCGTCGGCGGTGCTTGGGAGCCTTTGGGCGAGGTCGTCGTCGGCTAAACCAAAAAAAAAAAAAAAAGTACTCCTTTTTTTTCAAGGGGGTGGGGGAAACCCCCTAACACGGCTCAGACAGCCCATGCAGGCTGTCTGAGGGGTCCTCGCAGCCACATGGCTCAGACCCGCCCACCCAAATCGAAGCAGGCAGCAAGTATGAAGGAGAGCACGAGCTGGCCGAATATATGCTCAGGATTTAAGTTCAGGTCTATGTTTCAGCAGTTATGGGTTGCTCACGTAGGTAGGCCGTGTTGGTTTCTGTTTTTCTTTTTTCTTGTTTTGTTTTTTCTCGTTTTTCTTGCTTTTCTTAGGAATACGTGCAGTGGCCCTAAGGGCCTCTACTGAGCACATGCACAAAAGACATGTTCTGCAGAAGATTCATTTTTTTTTACTGTTCTTTTTTTTCTTGTTTTTTTCTTTTTCTCCTTTTTCTTTTTTCTTAGGAATACGTGCAGTGGGGCCTCTACTCAGCATATGTACAACAGACAAAACATATGGCGGCGTACTATTCCATGTTCTGTGGAAGATTCATTCTTTTGTTTTGTTTTTCTTTTTTTTTGTTTTTCTTTTTTTCTCCTTTTTCTTTTTTCTTAGGAATACGTGTAGTGGGGCCTCTACTCAGCACATGCACAACAGACAAAACATATGGCGGCGTATTATTCCATGTTCTGCAGTAGATTTATTCTAGTTTTGCACATTTGGTGAGTAGTGCAGCCAAGCCCTGAGAATCACGTGCAGCGACCAACACAACCTAGCTACGTGAGCAACCCATAACTGCTGAAACACAGACCTGAAGTTGAATCCTGAGCATATATTCGGCCAGCTCGTGCTCTGCTTCATACACACTGCCTGCCTCGATTTTGGTGGGGGGGTCTGCACCACATGGCTGTGAGGACCCCTCAGACAGCCTACATGGGCCATCTGAGCCGTGTTAGGGGGTTTCCCCTACCCCCCGGAAAAAAAAAAAAGGACCATTCATACACACACACACACACACATTCACACACACACAATGGTGGGGGTGACGCCGTACCTGTGGCGGGGGTGGTGGTGGGGGTACTCCGGGGAGGGTTTTTATTTCACTTTAGGGGTTTTTTGAACGAGTGCCGCCACCCCGTAGTCCGCGACGCGCGCATGCGGGGTGCGAGGTCGCGTTCACTTTTTACGTGCCACGTTGCGCGCAGCGTGTTTGAACGCGATTGAACGCCGCCGCGCGGGGTATGAACGCGCGCGTTTGAACGTAAACGCGCGTTCGGCGCGTTCAACCGGTTACACAGATCATCATCGTTAGCATAGATCTCGATATACCTCGTGGAGAGACATAGCGAAATCCCTCGAACCGATCACCATATGCCACGTGGAGAAACAAAGGAGAAAGAGGGAGTAAGAGCAAGGAGGTCCGGGCGGACGGATGCTGATGAGAAACGATGTTGATGAGAAAAGAAGAAGAGATGAAGATAGAAAAAAAGAAGAGATGAAAGGGTGTTCGCACGTCGAGGGAGCAAACAGCCCGTGCAATCAGAGGATAGAATGGAATTCGAAAGGTCCTGTGTACACGGTCTAGATCCCAATCCAATTCCATTCTATCTTCTGATTACGCGGTCTGGATCCCAATCGATTTCAATTCGATAGTTTAGGTACAGGGTCCGGATCCCGATCCAATTCCATTCCATCGTCTGATCACACGGTCTGGAACCCCATGCACTTCCATCCCAAATTTGTCGTCTGAGCAGACGTGTCCATGCATGCATGCATGCAGGCAAATACTAACCACGTGTTTGCATGCCTGCATGTAGACGTCTCTCTCTCTCTCTCTCTCTCTCTCTCTCTCTCTCTCTCTCTCTCTCTCTCTCTCTCTCTCTCTCTCTCTCTCTCTCTCTCTCTCTCTCTCCATTGTTTGTCCCATTTTCAATCTCGTTCCCCTCCCTTCACGCCGAGCTCCTCTTCCTGCTTTCCAATCTCTTCTTTGCCGCCTCATCCAAATCCTCATTCACGACCTCTATTCCTTACCTCGTGTAAGTGCATGCTCGTCTCTCCTCCCCTTCACCCTATCCTCCCTGTTTCGCTGCATCCCCATCCTAACCGTCCAAATCCCGACCCTCTCATCCTTTTTTTTTTTTTTTTTTTTTTTTTTTTAATAGAAATAGCTCCGATCTATTGGTGGGGAGCAACACCTGCTGGAAAACGGGTCCAGCGTCCCTTACATATAACTTTGATTAAACATAATATCAATCCAGAATTCTCATATCCTAATAAGGTGTTGTTCTACATGCCTCTTCAGTCATACAAAATGACCGCCAGAAAGGAATGATTAACCTATCGTCTATCTCCATAAACTCTCACCTTTCTAATGAAACCGCCTATCCTCCTCCCTCTTCCCCCCCAAACCATCCTAGATCCACTAGAGCCATAGCAGAGGGAGGAAAAAAGTCGGAGAAAAACTCAGGTGATCTCAAAGAAGCTTCTGGCTGGATATCAAACCAATTGTGAAAAGTGATCTGGTAATCTCGCTTAAAAGTCCCCTGATCTCTTTCCCCTCCTGGCCACACCACCTTCCCCAGTTTTTCCCCTGATGCATCCCCTAACCATTCCAAATTGAATTTCGAGATTCTTTGTGTGATATCTTTTTTTTTTTTTTATATTCAATCATTTTAACTTTCGTTTTTTCCCATTGAAATCTGATTTCAGATTGAACAAATTGTTGAATTATATCTACCACCTCTTGTTTTTCGACTATAACTCCCTCAATGGCACATGTACATCTTTTATGCCACAACGCCCATAGCACCGTTTTCCTGCTTAAATGAAATAGGTTCTGTTAAAAATCAGATAACTCAATCAGTGCGGGATTCCAGTGTCCAAGAAGAATAGCCCTCCACTCCCATGGCCAGTCTAAGCTTGCCAGTCTTCTCCATACATAGTCCCATAATCTCCAAAGCAATACAGAGTCTGGGCATTGTAGGAAGATATGTTCAATTGTTTCTCTTATTTTCCTACTTGGGAAGGCTTGAATACATGATCTGCACCATGGTACTGCCTTACCCTTTTGTTCTAGAGAAGAGTGGTCTATTAACCAATCATTAGTGGGTAGGCACCTGTGTATTATTTGTCACTGTAAGGATGCAAACTTGGTTGGCCTCTCTCTGAGGCCCTTGCACCACTTCACTGGTTTGATCGGATCCTTGTTTATGTTTAGGTGTCTATACCATCGATCCTGTAATATTTCTGAAACCTCTATTTTAGGGCGAAGTAGCCTATAGGAAGCCTTTACGCTCAAGGATTGAAGTCTTACGGGTTTATATCTCTTGTTTAGCCGCCATACCCATTCAGTTGGATCTAAGGGAAGCTCCGGGGTTGACGTAGAAAAATTTGCCACTTTTTTGTTTTCGTACAGTAGATGACTCTTATTCTAAACATTTCTTCAAAATTTAAGAAGATGACCGTATCTAGCTCCTTGTTAGAAATTTTGTTGTCCTTTTGGATCTAAAAAATATTTACCTGGGCACCTCCTTCGTATACATCCATAATTTGTCCTATTGACTTGGCTCCATCCTGACGATTTATACACACTCAGTCTGCTGTTTGAAACACCGGGCCTTTTTTAAGCACCATTGTCCAAGCCAAGGGAATAGATGAAGTGATTTCTTCCAAATTATTCATTAGATTGTGTGCATATTTAATCCCTTTTCTAAGTTCTTCTATAGTCTTCCAAGTTTTATTCACCGGGTCCCACAGATCCTTAACTCTTACTACTCCATTTCTGACCCAATTTAACCAAGGGGATTCCGAGCTTATAAAGACTCTACCATTATGA